CTTTCGCCCCACCTCCCCCTTTCCTCCGGGACCGTCTGACCAACCGAGGGGGGTGGAAGTGTCGGAACGCTACACGGCGCGCGCGCAGTTTAAACTGTTGAAGTTAGCGCCGTGTTGAGCACGCTCGATGTTTCTACTTGTGCGCTAGTTTCCTTGTTTATGTGTGTACAGCGGTACTAATCCCGGGAGGAGGGGGTCGGCGGGAGGGGGGGAGGCAGGCGGCGGCATAGGCGACGAACCTTCGCCTCTAACCAAACAGGAGGCCTCAACTCTGTGTCTCTCTCGCTCCTTCTACCACCACCTCCTCCTCCTCCGCCGTCTTCACCTAAATACGCCCGCTCGCCCCAAGTTGTGGTTGCCGAACTATGCACCAACATGATTAATTCAACTTCGATAAAGCCATAAACACCTGCGCGAATGGCCTGCCTGCTCACTACACCGACAGGTCGCGTAGGGCCGACGACCGACCGACGCGGGATGTGCTTGCTGCGTAGTCGCCCCAGACTTTAAAGTCCTCGTTGTGGTGGAGAGCACACGTGATGCTACACAAATAAATGAGACAGTGCCCCTGCTGTTCGTTGTTCGTAGCCCACGCGCCTACGCGCCCTCGACGTGATCTCGGTCGTAACCCTCCTTGTTGGTTCTGTTCCAGGATCGCCGGAGCGCCATGTCGCCGCCAGCTCGCCGCCCGACGTGGTGGTCACCGCGACGTCGGCGCCGGCCCGCGAGGCAACGCGGACGCCGTACCCCGCCAGCCCCGCGGCCAGCCCGTCAGGGAGTACGACGCCCTCCTCTGCGACGACGAATGCAACCCCAGCAGCAACGGCCTCGACGTCACGGGCTGCCGTGGGCGCGGAGCGAACAAGTCGACCCGGGGTGATCCCGGACGGGCCTCCGCCCGGAGCCGGGGCTGACGGACCCGCTGCTTTGACGGCGTCGCCACCCTCCACGGCGCTGGCGTCAACCACGGCGTCGTCACCTCCGACGGCACCAGTGTCAACCTCTGCTCCGGCGTTAACCACGGTGTCGCCTCCACCCACCGCGGGGTCGTCGTCAACCACGGAGTCGCCTCCAACTCAGGGGACGCCGGTGGTCCCAACGACGCCCCCGACGCCGGCCACCGCGCCCACTACGGCGCCGCCCTTGGTGACGGCCGCCACGACCGCGTCGACCGCCGCGGCCGCGACCACCGATGCCTCATCTAGCGGGTCGCCCCCGACGCTGACCGCCTACTCCGGCGATGGCTTCCTCCAGCGCAGTCGTCTGGAGGGGGGCGGCCCGCTGGAGGCCCTCCAGACGCCCCTCCAGAGCCCTTCGCCGCCTCCCGGCCTCGCGGTCACCGTGGAAGTCGACAAGCTGCCGCGCCTGCCGGGCGCCACCGCCACCGAGGCCACGACCCTCGCTGACGCCAAGGTCACGCCCACCGCGACGCTCTTCAACCTGGCCGAGAACGTCATCAGCGGCTTCGCCGTCATGGTGCTGCAGTCGCAGGTGCATGTCGACGAGCCGGGCGCCGTGGACGGCAAGCACGCCGATCAGAAGGCCAACCACCTGCTGGAGGACCTGGTGTTCAAGCCCGAGCCCATGCACTTCGCTACGCCCAACAACACCGTGGTCCTAGCTCAGCGTGGCACCACTGCCTACCTGCCCTGCGTCATCAAGAACATCGCCGACGGGCTGGTGAGTACCAAGAGTTGTTTTTCTTACCTTATGCTTAGGAAAATTTCCTAGTATTTCTAAACAAACTTGTTACGGTTGTTTCTACCCTACAATCAAAACAGGGGTGGAGAAGGGAGGGCGCCGTGTTGCCGCGACTAAATTACATTTCCACAGAAACTCGTTCACCACTTTATTTCCTCTGAACATGACGCATGTCAACAAGAATTGTTAACGCTTTTAGGTTGAAATAATTACCTTCATGAAGGGCATTTCGTCCTGTTTCAATGATACCAATTCCTGGAAAATGCTTTCAAATATGAGTTATCTGGACACAGGAAAACAAAAAACAACGAGAAACCAATCGCACATATGTTCCCTCTGATCAATGCGAAACACGGAATTAGGAGAGGGAGAAAGAGAGAAATCAAGAGAGAGGGAGAGAGAGAAATTGAAATTGAAATTGAAATTGAATTTATTAAGGATCCTCAAAAAGGGCTAAGAAGCCCCACTACATGAGAACCCGCTCTCTAGCAGGATGTTTAAAGATACTTAATGACTAATAATACTTAAAACTAATGTAACAACTAAAGATTAAGTACAGGATAC